AACACGTGCCATATTGGATTCGCAATCTACTGAACCATCCCAACAGCAGCTTGAGGAGCTGCTCCATAATGAAGTAATCAGAGAGAAAAGATCAAAAAAAAATAAATGATAGGCAAAAGGGCAAAGCAACCATTGTCCCAGATAATGATGCGAAGGAAGATGAACAGGAAGATAATGATGCGGAAGGGAGTGCTACTCCCTACTTCAGCACACGAATGGGGCCAAAGACCATGTTCAAGCTTGTACAGAAACTAACGCCAGAACAAAAACAAGTTGTGCATGATATTGGATTTGGATCCCTGTTGAATCTTCAGTTGTGCATGAATGAGTCACAGTTAGTGCAGTATCTGCTTAACAACTTTGAGCTTTACCAAACACATTTCAAATTGGAGAATGATAAGCTCATTGTTGAAGAAGAGGACATAGAGTACACTCTTGGCATTCCACGGGGAGAAAAGGTGGTTGTTGAGGGCCCAAAGTATGACGAACAAGGAAGACCAGAGTACAAAGCTCTGTTACAAAGCTGGAGGACAAGATGGAATATTACAATTGGTTCCCCAATCACAACCAAAATGGGGGATGTGATTGTTAACAGAGGAGATTATGGTGATGAATTTAAAAGGGACTTCATGGTCTTGACTGTTTCATGCATGATGCGAGGGTTTCAGACACGCAGCTGCAACCATAGAATACTCAACTACTTGGTTAATGTTCATGAAATAAAGGAATACAACTGGTGTAGCTACACCTACAACTCTCTTATCAAGTCCATTGAGAAGTACAAGAAAAAAAGTAAAGGCTTTTTTACTGGACCAATGACATTCATACTAGTAAATTCTAGTTATACATCAAATGTCTTTATTGAATTCATTGTCTTTGTGTGATTATCTGACTTTCAACACAATGTTATAATATTACACATATAAAATTCTGAAATTGTAAACATAGGATCATTGAGATTATGAGATTATGCATTTTCTATTAACAGATTATGAATTTTCTGTTAACAGATTATGAATTTTATATTAACAGATTATGAATTTTATGTTAATAGATTATGAATTTTCTATCATGCTATTATGAATTTGCATTTATGGATTTATGAATTTTCTACTAAGATATTATGATTTTTCAGTTATGATATTATGAATATAGTGTTCATATGGATTTATGAATTTTCTACTATTTAATTATGAATTTTTTTGTTATTTAATTATGAATTTTGTGTTAGGATATTATGAATTTACAGTTATAGAATTATGATTATAACTATTTTTTTCCTTTTTCTTGAAAATTGTAGCTATTCTACTTTGATTGGGTCCAATTCAAAGGGATGAGAGTTGAGAGAACATACCAAAGCATAACCGCATGGACAAAAAAGCTTGCAAGACAAAGAGTTTCTGCAGAAAGAAGGTCAGGTGGATATGGGAAAGGGAAAGTTATCCCGCGTGTTGCAAAGCCTACTACTGATTGTACCACTCACGCTATTGCTTCTACTTCAAACCAACTTACTGCTCCTGATGCTCATCAGACAGTCCCAAAAGTCTGTGCTGCCATCCAGTGTTGACAGAGTTACACAAGTGCTACGGCGGCTTACTGCTGATGTCTTGGAGTTTGGAGAGGCAATGGTCGAAGTTGGCAAACAAAATGCACCTGAGGTTATGAAGAACGTCTTTTCTGGCATTTCTACCATGATTACCATGGCTAGTACGATGGACAAACCACCAACCCCAACCTCCTCTCAACTTGATGACATCTTCTTTGGCTAGGAGTCTTTCACAGAGGCAGTTGATGCTTTGGTTGAAGAATTTCAAAAGACCAACAAGCAAATGGAGTTTGAACCTCCATCATTTGATTTGGGAATTTCATATACCCCGTCACCATTGGTTGAAGAACCACAAGAGCAGTGCACGTTGGATGAACAGCAATTGGATGCCCTCGTTCAAAACATTGTGGAAGATGCTCTTGCTGCTTCAACATCTGAAAACCAAGAAAGAACTCCATTGATTAGGGTGCCATTCCCCAAAGATGTCCCTGGTGCTGCTGATGTTGCTACACCTGCTGCTGACCTTGATGATGTTGATAGGTAAACTAATGCAGTTACGAAATTGTGAATTTTATGTTATGTCATTAGGAATTATGAATGTTCTTATATGATATTATGAATTTTCTATTATGAATTTACAGTTTTGATGTTACGACTTTTCTGTTATGTAATTATGAATTTTCTATATGAGATTATGAATTTTATGTTATGAGATTATGAATTATGTGTAACTGTTATTGATGGACAATATATTCTTCTTATGTAGAGCATGGCTGGATTTATTCGGCATTCCCCATCCCCCTCTACTTAAATAAGGAATATATTTCTATCAAACTTATTTCTGTTATGATATTATTCACTATCTATGCAGCTTTGAATGTCAATAATGTCACAACTGTTATTGATACTCTGTTTCTCTTATGAACTTTATGATATGAGATTATGAATTTTCTTCTGTGAGATTATGAATTTTCTCATATGAGATTATGAATTTTCTATTGTGAGTTTATGAAATTACAGTTTTGAGATTATGAATTTTCTGTTATGCAATTATGTATTTTCTGTTATACCATTATGAATTTACAGTTATCCAATTATGAATTTTCTGATATGAGATTATGCAATTATGATAATGTTAACTAGCTTCATGCATTTTGTGTAAACACACAGTGCATTTCTGGATAGCAAATCCGATGTTGAAGATGTCACTATCCGAAAGAGGCCAATCAGAAAATTCAAAAACATCCCACTGAATTTGAGGTCACCTTTCTGGACAAAAAATGCACCATTTGTTCATAATGCTAGTGTCACAGAGAAGGCCATATCAAACTATGCCTTCATGGATGCTTCTCCAAATCATCCAATAGAGTATGTTTGAATCTTACTATTTAATAAAATTTTTATTACCATGAATATTTAACATTTATAAACATGTATTAATTTGTTTACTTATTTATCTAACTTTTTTGGTGTTGTAGTGAAATGCTATTTAGCTTTGATGATTTCTCTATGACACGGGGAGATTTCCACGCACTAAGCAGCGGTGAAATTTTTAGCACCTTCATTGATGTATGGGCGTTGAGGCTTACATTCCTCAACACAAAACGCGCATTGGGGAAGCCAAAATGCATTTATTTTAGCACATTAGTACATGTAAGTTCAAATCAAAAAATTTTACAATTTGGACCTATGAATGTATGACTCTATAATTCTGCACAACTTATCGTTAATACGTGTTATTTTCCCCTTAGCTACAACTTGACCCGATTGAACAATGGATGAAGGATCTTCCACTTCAAAAGCGGAAGGAAAATTTCAATGAGCGGTTGCAATATGAAATTGCCAAATTTGGAAATCTTGACATCAATGATGCTGATTTGGTAATCTATAATTACCCACGTTCAACTTTTATTTATTAATGACATTTTTTTTCTCTATTCTAACTTCTTCTTCTTTTGACATTAGATATTTTTCCCCGTGCTCCGACACGGACACTACTTTGTTGTGTGCATTAACACCATTGCAAAAAATGTTGAAATCATAGACAACAAATCCCTGCCTACTGGTGTTACAGAAATTGACAAATATCAAAATTGCCCCAGTCTACTGGTAACTTAACAATAAACTTGAACTTCTAATCATTTGTTATACATTTGCTATAAATCATTATGACACTAGTTTGATTTTTGTCCAGATGACTGCTTTAAAGGAATACTTGACTGCAGAGAAATCACCCCTATTACGTAAGATACAAAAGCTTCCTGTAGAATACTTGGCCATTCACTGGAAGGAGCTTGACAATGTCATTGACTGTGGCATATATGTCATGCGACACATGGAATCGTACAAGGGGAATGTGCAAGATTGGAACAGTGGGTTCAAGAGAAACACTCGTGTAAATGTAAGAGTATAAGATATATTAATTTTAACTTAGATTTACTTTTTTGTTTTTTAACCTCCCATTAAACTGATTATTTAATGTTTTTTTTAAGGCTGACTTCATTTGGGAACTGAGAGCTAAATATGCGCCAAACATTATCACATGGGGTAGGAACACTGAAAGAACCCGGGTTATGAAAGCAGCAAAGGAACTCTCAAAGAAGAAATGAATCTATACTATTTTTTGGTGTTTGAAAATGTTGTGAACATGAAGCAGTAAATTTGTGAATACTTCATTTTGAAATTTTGACTGTTGGTACCCTAATTTCAGAATCTCTCATTTTGTAATGTGGACAAATATTTTGCACCTATGAATATAAAATCTATTACTCTTAATTCAGGTTACATATGGTTCATATGGATTTATGAATTTTCATCTATCATATTATGAATTTTCTATTATATAATTATGAATTTTCTGTTATGTGATTATGAATTTACAGTTATACAATTCTAAATTTTCAGTTATGTCATTATGAAATTTAAAGTTATATAATTATGAATATGCAGGGTTATGAATTCAAAGTTATGTAATTATAAAAATCTGTTATTTTAATTTAAATATATTGTGTAATTTTAAATTTATTATGATTATATAGTCCATAAATTATGAACATATAATCATAAATGTGCAGATATGGATTTATGAATTTTCTGTTATGTAATTATGAACTTTCTATTATGAGATTATGAATGTATAGTTGTCATAATGACATAACAGAAAATTCATAATCACATAAAGGAAAATTCATAATCTGACACATATAATTCATAATCTAATAGCATAAAATTCATAAGTACATAACTGTAAATTCATAATCACATAAAGGAAAATTCATAATCACATAAAGGTAAATTCATAATCACATAAAGGAAAATTCATAATCTGACACATATAATGCAAAACTGCAGCTGTACACATCAACCATATTGCAACTATATAGTTCAAATCTAAATATTTTGCATAGTATTCATCACATCACTGCTAAACATATCAAGTTCTATTAACACAATCTCAATCTATATCTACATTGTGGTCTAAATTCTTATTAAAATAAACAAACTGTGAACCCCCAGAGCTTGGATGTACGAGATATCCATCACGAGCAATCTCTGATATATTTTCCAAGACCAATGATTGGACAGAGCCCTTTGTAATTGAAGCAAGCTTGTTTGCAGCACTCTTTCTCCCCCTTGCTGCATTGTACTTCTTCTCAATAACACTACTACTCCTTTTATTTCTCACACCTTTACTCCTCCGGCTTGAAGGATCTTGTACAATACCACTTGAAGAAGACACAACACCCTCCTCAATATTCACATCCCCAATCTCAGCTTCAACGTTTTTCCTTGCATTCTCAACAGCTTCATCACAGAATTGTCTAGCAACACTATTATCTTGACTAGAAACAATAAGTCTTTGAAATTTCCTACTAATCTCAACAGCCCAAATTGAAGAAGGGACACCAACATTATAAAACACAGATGCAATGTCCACATGTCTACCCTCAACAACCTTTTTAGTCCATCTTTTTAGAATGTATTTATCGGGAATACTAGAAACACAGTGCACATGAAGTATACGTAAGCAATGGCAGCAAAGTATTCCCAATTCTGAAAACAGCTTGCAACTACAACATATATCCAAATTGATTGCCTTAAAACTTACTTCATGCCTTATAATGTCTATGTCTGGTCGCCACACATGATACTTGCACTTACATCCATCATTCAAAACCATTTCTTGATAACAAGAGCTACCTTTCATAAATTGTTTCTCGAACAAAAAATATATCTCAATCGTATATACCTCTCTAGCATGTGAAAGAAGTTTCACATGATCCATCATCATGGCAGGTACTCCTTGAGAACACCGGAAATCTTCACCATTTTCCTTACTTCTCCATTCAGAAATAACACTCACAAAGGATGAATAAAAATCACATAAACCAGCAGTCTTAGACAACCTCCTAGAAATTGAATGATTTGTAGTTTCACTCCTTTGAGAAGATAAAATGCCCCCGGAAAAATAATCTTTGTTAAATGCTGGACACCACTTCTCCCTACAATCATAAAGCTTCTCTAGCCATGTATTCTTATGACACTTATATTCTGTCACCATCCTGAAAAGTTACAACACATGTTTAGTAAGCTTATTCTGAAAATTCATAATCTCATACTAGAAAGTTCATAATCATATAACAGAAAATACATAATGACATAACAGAAAATTCAGAATTGTATAACTGTAAATTAATAATCTCATACTAGAAAGTTCATAATCATATAACAGAAAATGCATAATGACATAACAGGAAACTCAGAATTGTATAACTGTAAATTCATAATTCTTATCCCCTGTTGAATACACAGTATAAATGACTAAAAATACCAAAATATGATACTGTACCCAATGAACAAAGTAAATAATAACATACCTTGTCCAATAAACTTCAAACTCAGCTTCAGTCTCGGTGTATTTCAACACACAATTGAACATATTCAGAAAATCCTTATGATTCCTTAATGCCTTGATATGCTTCTTCGAATTCTCACCAATATGCCATATGCAAATACGGTGGCATGATGTAGGAAACACCATAGAAATGCCAGCAGCCATAGCTGAACATTGATCCGTCATGATAGTCTGTGGACACTTGCCATCCATGGATTTTAAAAACGCTCTAAACAACCACGCAAATGATTCTATCCTCTCATTCATCAAAAATCCACATCCAAACATTACATTCATGCAATGATGGTTCATCCCTACAAAAGGACCACAAATCATATCATATTTGTTAGTGCGATATGTTGTATCGTGCACTAACAAATCACCAAACAACTCATAATCCCGTCTCATTTGACCATCCCTCCAAAAAAAAACTACACAATCTTCCATCCAAATCAACTTCAAAATCAAAAAAGAAATCAGCCTCATTAGATTGCCTCCTCCTAAATATTTCAATCAAAGAATTGGAATCAGTCCCATCCAAAGACTTCAAACTCTCAGAAGTCATCGAATTGTAAGCATCGCGATTGGTAAAGCCAACCAATGGAGAACCCCCTGACTGATGTTCCAAAAACCTCATATCCGCCAATGCAACACCACTATTCTTCATATCTTTTAAATATTCAAGATGATTATTTCCCACTCTTCTATGTGAACGGAGCATATGACTCTTGCCAAATGAACATAACTCATGATTGTGCTCTTTCACATGTTTTGTAACTGTCCACATCTCATCGCCCCCCACGTCAAACTGAACAAGTGCACCACAACCAATCCTTATATCAATTTTTGAATAAAGCTTGACACCACTATTTGGTTTCTCCTTATACCCAGCCTTAGCACAGAAGAACCCCTTCATCTGAATTGACTTAGTAGATGCCTTATAACGTTGTTGACCTTTCCTCACACTAAAACCAACTCTGTATGCATATCCATTATATAACTCAAAAGCTTCATCACTATTACTTACTACAACACCAACCAAGTCTTCATCAACTACAATTGCAAAAATATATATATATATATATATATATATATATATATATATATATATATATATATATATATATATATATATATATATATATATATATATATAACCACACCTATACCAACTACTAAATTATGAATATGCAGTTCAACTATAATGAATATAATATGCTACAATAGAAAATTCATAATCTCATATGAGAAAATTCATAATCTCACAGAAGAAAATTCATAATCTCATATCAGAAAGTTCATAAGAGAACAATAACAGTTGTGACATTATTGACATTCAAAGCTGCATAGTTAGTGAATAATATCATAACAGAAATAAGTTTGATGGAAATATATTCCTTATTTAAGTAGAGGGGGGATGGAGAATGCCGAATAAATCCAGCCATGCTCTACATAAGAAGAATATATTGTCCATCAATAACAGTTACACATAATTCATAATCTCATAACATAAAATTCATAATCTCATATAGAAAATTCATAATTACATAACAGAAAAGTCATAACCTCAAAACTGTAAATTCATAACAGAAATAGAGTATTAATACCAATCGCAACATTACTGACATTCAAATTGCATATAATCACCATGAATCAGTACCTACAACTACCAGAAACCACATTCACGTTAAAAAGCTAAGAAAAGAACCTGGACTTGAAGACGAGCCACCAATGTCAATGTTTACATCTGCTTGATAGTGCTTAGTGAATCACCAACAAAATCTTCATTCACTTAATATATGCAAACAGAGTAACATACCAGTTAATATGTTATGAACATAGGACTATTAAATTATGAACATTCATACCACATGCATGAACAGAGTATCAAAATTCATAATTGCGTAACAGAAAATACATAATCTCATATTGTAAAATTCATAACAGAAATATAATACTACTAACAATTGCGACATTACGAATATTCAAACTGCATAGATACTGAACAAACACCAATAAAAATAAACTAAATCTTCAACATGCTAAAATCTCATAAATCCAACGAAATCAAACGCAGAAAATCGAACGAACCTGGAATCGCAGAAATCAAATCAACAATTGAATCTTCTCCGCGAACCGCTGTCTCCTCCATCTACGAGTTTAAATCAATCAATCGCGAATAGGAGAGAATTGTGAATATCGGATCGAATCAAATGATTGTTAAACTGCCAAAAACGAAACTGCCTTCAAAATCGATACTAACGCCGTTAATAGAACAGTGATTTTTTTTTTAAAAAGTGATGCCTATAAAACGACGTCGTTTGGAAGGGTGTCCACCAAGAAGGGTGAACACGTTTCCATGGCATAATTTGCAGTCGGTCACTACTAAAAAGTTCTTGATGGAATATACTTTTCCCTCAATGAACACAGTGTGATACTTAGCAACATCTTCCCTGGAAATAGTTCCATGGATGTAGGTCCCCTATATAACACCAATAAAAATGCAAAAATTAAAAAACAGGTTGAATATTTTAATATAAAATACTGTATTAAACTTACCTCTTGATCATGGAAGAGTAATTCTTTGCTCTTGCTGGCCGATGCTCCCCCACGTAATTGAGGGACTTCATAGGTTCTCACCAAGTGCACCTGGATAGCTCTCCGGGTGTGCATAGGACTAACTTGAGATGCAAGAATGCATTGAGAAGCCATTTTCGCAGTTTTTTTTTTTTTTTTTTTTTTTTTTTTGCAGAGTTTGTTTCCTCAGAAAGTTACATTGGTGAAGAACATTACTGGATTAGTGCATATTTATACTAATTTTTTGAGTAGCAAGTATGCCTCTCCATTAATGCAACGTTATTAATTTCATTAGAGTAGTAATAAAAAAATTAGTATATATATATATATATATATATATATATATATATATATATATATATATATATATACACACACACACACTAGTAATTCACCCGCGCGATGCACGGAAAAAAATTATGTTATCATAAATATAAATAAAAAATAGAAAAAATAAAAATATTTTAAATTGTTTAATATAATAATATTTTGAGCTTCCATTGGTCAAGTATTTATTATTTTTATAGAACACAAAATTACAATTAAAATTAAAATTAAAATTTTGTATGGTTAATATAATCTCTAATTATGTACATATTCAAATAAACTTATAAGAGAATTTACATAATTACATTGATTTATTCTTAATTGTATTTCATCTATATTATAATTTTCACAATACGAATAATAACTAAGATAATTACATTTAGAAAGCAAATTTCAAATTTTGTAGGAGTAAATTTAAACTCTAATTGAACACATTTTTTATATGATTATATAATATATTCTTTATGCACATGTCATTCCATAAACCCACATGTCATTCTATAAGCCCAAGACCACTTTTTGTGAAGATTTTTTGAATGAATTTTTTTTTTCTTTTAAAAGTCCTAAGTTTAGAAATCCAGAAAAACATTAAAGACCCATAAGATATATACATTTATATATTTAAATTTTTATTTATGGCTCAAATGATTTTTTTTTTAAATTCTAACCCAATAATTGACCCACGACCCGCAGCATTTGTTTTCTTCATCCCTTCTCGCTTCTGTCATTTCTTTGAAGCATTTGAGAAGATAGAAAAGTACACTCCACAATCTCTACCTGTAGAAGGTGGTTCAATTTCTTAATGTCTGGCTCCATTTTTTCTACCACTTTCCATGATTCTTCTCTTCTGTTTACTCTTTTTTTTTTTTTTATATATAGGTGTGATTGTTAGAGCCTCTTCTACATTCTACCGTCTTTTGTCTCCTCCGCCGCCATGGCCATGAACATACACAAATGGTAGGACAAATTGTTGCAGTTTACGCTCACATAGATTTGATCTGGGGTGTTTTATAGGAGAAAAATTATATGTAGAGGCTTGCATTAATTGCACTGTTTCGGATATTGAATATGCTTTCATCGAAAATTTAATTAATATTGTAATCCCAAGAAACATTATAGATAACAAAAACATATCAAATAGACTTTCATTGTAAAGCCAGAGATTTAATTAATATTGCATCGTTTCATATTTTCTATTAATCGTGAATCGGAATCCCTAATCATAATATCATAATAGTTAATAACTCCATTAATTCAATAAATGTAATCCTTTGTTATAGACGAGAAAAAAATAGCTATTTTATTTTTCAAATGTTGTGCTCTTTTTTTTTTTTTTAATAGTAAAGAATGTTGTGGCTATTTTATAACAATAACTTAATAAGGATAGAGATAATAATTGTAACATTAATTACTTCTCAAACCATATACCTTTATTATAGTTAGGATATATACACACACATTTATGTGTGTGTATGTTTGTGTGAGAGAGAGAACTATGCGAGTAGTGGCTACTATAATTTTAAAAAAATTACGTTATGCTTTCTTAATTTCAAAGTTAAGTTTGTCTTCCACAATATATGAATTGAAGCAAAAGCTTCCAAAATACTCAGCAGCACCCACCATCGCTTAGAAAGTCCCACAATACTATAAACTAAAAAACACTAAAGAATTGCTTGATCATCATCCTTGTAATAATCATTCATATTTACCCGTTTCACTTTCTTTCCTTCTTTCTTTCTTCTTCTTCTTCTTTTTTTTTTTTTTTTTTTTTTTTTTTTTTTTTTTAAAGAAAAAGAAAATTAAAAGTCAATGTAGTAAATGAATAAACTAATGAGGGAGAGTGAGTTTTTATCATATCACATGAGAATGAGTATATTTTTTTTAAACACCATGACATGATTCTTTACAATGTAGTATCACTGGATTTCATCTTGTGACTATTCATTTGGAATGATAATAGAAATATCATCACACTATATAATAGTTGGCAAGTAAATATATTTAATACGGAGTAATAGTTAAATATTTTACTTTTTCTAAAAATATGAAATTAAACTACAATAACGTGAGGTAAGCTAAGACATTTATGTATTGATGTTTAACACTGAAAAGTATGTTGTTAGACATTAATCATGGCAGTGAGAATTATGAAGTTATAACAACTAACATCATTAATCATAGTGATACAGGTGTTCATTTTGCTAGGGATAATTATGTTGTGCATCCGTATGCACCATGCATGGTGCATACGGATGCCGACGTCGTTTTATTAAAAACGCGCATTTCACTTTTAAAAAAATTCAAGTTCGATTCCCCTTAACAACATTATGTTGTTCATTCATTTTGAAATTTTAGTTCAAAGATTCTGGAATTTTAGTTCATTGATTCTGGAATTGTAGTTCATCGATTCTGGAATTTTAGTTCATCGATTCTGAAATTTTAGTTCATAGATTCTGGAATTTTAGTTCATTCATTCTGGAATTTTTAGTTCATAGATTAGATTCTGGAATTTTAGTTCATTGATTATGGAATTGTAGTTCATCGATTCTGGAATTTTAGTTCATATGTTGTTGCTGAGAATCGAAACTGATTTTTTTTTTTAAGTGAGATGCGCGTTTTTAATAAAACGACGTCGTTTTTGCATCCGTATGCACCATGCATCGTGCATACGGATGCACAACATACTTTGCCTTTTGCTAGATTACTTGATTAGATTATTATCCTATCTTGCAATCAAAATATCCTTAAAAGCAGATTATAAATGATTTTGTTTTTTCACCTTTAAGTTCGTACCATACTCAGACTGACCCAATTAACGGGTAAAGTGCTGGCCAGATTAATTTTTTTCATACAAGAGGGGGTTCGAACTCCCGACCTCTCTTAAGTGATGAGAGTGCACGGTCACTACGCCAACCAAACTGGTTAAGGAGTTATAAATGACGGTTGTTATACAGTGGACCATGGTCCATAGTGCTATGTGGACCATGGTTGTCAAATAAAACTGTAGTAGAATTAAAATGATACTTTAGTGTTGCTAAAATGAAACTAGTGTGTGTGAAAAATGAAACTAAAAACAGAGCTCATTCAACAACATATATTGTCAAATGAAACTGTAGTATAATTAAAATGATACCTTAATGTTGTAAAATGAAACTATTGTGTGTGGAAAATGAAACTAAAGTCCAGAACCATACAATAACATATATTATATTGTCAAATGAACGTGGAGTGTAATTAAAATAATACTTTAGCATTATTATAATTAAACTAGTGTGTGTGGAAAATGAAACTACAAAATAGAGCCATTCAATAATGTATATTGTCAAATGAAACTGTAGTAGAATTAAAATAATACTTTAATATTACTATAACGAAGCTAATGAGTGTGGAAAATGAAAATGAAAAACGAAAAACAGAGCAATATTATCAAATGAAACTAAAGTGTAACTAGAATGATACTTACTTTATGAACTACATTACTACATGGACCATTGTCTACAATAAAATTTGCCTAAATGATAATACAACTATACATCCATTTACTGAGCTTCCTAAGTAGTATACTACTATTCGAAAGGCTTTGTGATCGAGTAGTATAGTTGTGGACCCTTAAATGATAAGTTTCAGGTTTGAACCCCAGTGTGGAAGCATTGATTTTAATAAAATAATAATTAAAGAATAGAAAAAAGATATGATAGATATAGATGGATGGTAATAATGATGGTGTTATCAATGTTAGAATTATAAAGTAACGGTACTATAACAGTGTAAGGTAATTTTGTCTAACAAGAATATAGTAAGGACAATTTTGTCTAATAACATTGAAGTGTACAACATTTAAAATAAAATGTATATATTTTTTAGCATACAAAAAGAGGGACATAAATCAAAGGATATAACCTTGATTGAGACTTATTATGTTTTTAGATTTAGATTTAGATTAGATTAATATTTTTTTTTTAACACCAAGCACCTTGTGCTCAGATGGCATGTAGTGACTCTCCCATGTGGGAGGTCATGAGATTGAGCCTTAATGGATGTGATGTTGACTCTTTGTGCTTCAATAGGCTGAGAATGAAAAAATAACTATGAGGCGGCTCAAATTCATAACTATTGAAGCACAAAAAGTCAATACTGCCCCCGTGGCTCAAATTCATGACCTCCCATTTAGGAGAGTTACTCCGTGCCACTTGACCTCAAGGTCATGGGTATTATTGTATATAGTTATAATTGAAAATAAAAATGGTGTCCTAATAATTTTCATATTAAAATGAATAGATAAAATTTAGGGTGTGTTTGGTTCGCACATAGGAATCGGAATGGGTATCAAATACTTGGTAATGGTAATGGGTTTTGGTGAAAATATTTAACATGTTTGGTAGTAGGGTGGAATGAGAATGGTTACTAATAGTAGTGCTTGAGAATGAATAAGGGAATGAAACCCTTACTGTATTTGAGTATGGGTTTTTCAATTGATGGGGTATTCGAAACCCATAGTAGTATTCTAGAAACCTATCAACCAAACAACAACAATCACTTTCATACCCATTTCTATGGGCAAAACCCACCAACCAAACACACCCTTAATTTAGTTTTTGTAAAAAGTGATATGATTATAATAGACTTATTAATGTTGTCGAAAAGTAATTAAATAATTATGCAATGAAGTTATATCGTACAATTTCATAGGTTTTCCTTGTATATGAGATTATAAGACCTCAATTGTTGTTATGTGTGGACTATATATTCTTCTTGCAAACTCTCATTGATATTTTGAAATATCAATTTTTTTCTATGATATTGATTATATAATGAAATTTTTGCATTTAAATTCTTAAAGTAAAGAGAAATTTTGTCCATACATAATAGATCAACTTGTAATGAAATGTGCATTTTAATTAAAACAATATATATTTGAAATAGAAAATTAAAATTTATGCTACAACAATATGGTTTGATTTAAGCAAAGACGAGACAATGTATTCTTATAACAATTATACTATAACATTCATATTCTTTTAAGATGAAAATTTAAAAATAATAACTTTCATTTTTTTAATGGTTGAAAGAAACAAATTAAATATTATTATATTTTAATGGGAAAAGGGTCATATACACCCCAGGCCCTCGAACTTTTGAAAGTTGCAATTGGACACATTAACATATTAATTTAATGCATTAAAGTCCAAAATCATAATTGTGATCTGCAATAACACTGCATGGTTGTAGTAGTTGCTAGGCGCTAGTCGGGCGCCCGGGCAGCGCATAGCGCCTAGGCGGAATCTAGACGGGCGCCAAAAAAATAGTGGCAAACTTGTAGTTTGATAATTTTAATGAGGTTGTTTTCAACATTCAATCAAATAATTAATACATCCAAATAAATGAAATAATGATAATTCATAAGTCATAACATCAAAACAATATTAAAAAATAAAAATAGTCAAATACTTCAATCATCCAAAGATTCAAAGTATCAAACTAGTCTACGGAAGGCTGGACCAGACAACATCGGACGAAATAGGTCAAAATCGGATGAAATTGACCGAAGGCCAATTTCGACTGATTTCGCCGCCTAGGCGCTCGGCTGGTTTTTGGGCGCCTAATAGTGAAAGTGGAACGGCCTAGGGGGTAATTATGAGAGTAGTTCGTAAAAGAAAGAAGGATTTCGCACTTCGCATGACAGAGAGTAAAGATATCCAATATTGAGATTACTGAATTGTTCCTTTATTTAACACCAATTTGACAGAATAACAAACATATGACTAAATTGAGCAAAAACACAAAAGTCTGGGACTATATTAAGTCACCAAAATCGTTTAGGACGAAATTGAAAAAATCACTATACTCGAGGACCATTTTAGGTATTAAAAATCATAACATAGTATCCACACATGTCATTATTTTATTTAATTATTAGGTAAAAATTTTAATTAATTTATGGTAAGTTCATGAAAATAGAAATAGAAAATATAAAAAAAATCGGTGGGCTTTCCGGAAGCATTTTACATCAATAAATGGGTAGTTACAGTAGAAAGTAGTGTAGATCGTGCAAGCAGGATACCTTCCGCGATTCCATCCAAGACAAAGATGAAGGAAGCGCAAATACAGTGAAAGAAAATTTAGGAAACAAAACAAGAACAAGGTCCCTTTCTCTTCTTTTTTTGTCCTAATTTAAGCACAAAAGCTACAAATTTCTCCCTCATATCATATTCCCATTGATCGTCCATCCTAAATACTGAGTATTACTCTTCTCTCTCTCTCACGCACATCACACTCTTTGCGTGAGAGAGAAATACCTCCATTATACTTTCTCCTGCTCTGAGTATATTCTGCCCAGATCTGGGTTTTGAAGTAATTGGACCAAGCCCCATTTCAAGCTCCTCTGACGTCCAGTTGAAAACTCCATTCATTTCTCTGGTACTCCCTGTCTCAATTCTTGCTGGTGTTGATCTGTATTTGATTGAGCATTTAGTAGTGCATGCTATAAGTGTAGTTAAATTGAGTGTGTCTGCTTAATTTGCTATTGCAAGAATCCTTGGAGCTGCAAGCTGTGAAACTTGGAAAGTTAGTAACTTTGTCTTAGTTCCGGTGGTTTTATATAGGGTGAAACCCTTGTCTTGCATGAAAGCTCTGAAGAAGTAATTACTGGGGAGCATGCTAGTTGGGTCTCATGAATTTAGAATTTTGTGAGAATTATGAGTATTTTAGCTCTGAAAAGGGTTCTGTTTAATATGCAGAGGCCAGAGACGGAGCTTTTAAGTGTAGATTGTTGGCATTGAGTGATTAGAATGGCAAAATCTCGGCAGCATTTTCCTGCTGATGAAGTGTTGTCATCCTCGCCCACTGGTGTCCGGTCGAGGGAATGGGAAGGTCCGGGCAGGTGGACAGAGTATTTGGGTCATGATGTGGCCTCAACAGCGGCACATAAAGCCTCTAGGACTGCTGGCACTGATGGAACAGCAGCCCATAGCTCGAGTGGGTCTAGTCATAAAGGACTGAACATGCAGTGGGTATACCAGCTCACACAAGTAGCTGAGGGGCTGATGGCCAAAATGTATAGATTAAATCAGATTTTGGATTATCCTGATGTGATTGGTCATGTGTTTTCTGAGGCATTTTGGAAGTCTGGGGTGTTCCCAAACCATCCAAAGATATGTATATTCCTCTCAAGAAAGTTCCCTGAGCATCACAGCAAGCTGCAGCTTGAACGAGTAAGAGCCTGGGGATTTTTATCTGTCTTTTCTTATAAGTGTTTTTTCTTTTGCTGATTGGAATTAGACTGGTGTTTTTAGTGCTGCTAATAATGAGCATATTAGTGTAGGTTGACAAGATTTCTCTAGATGCTATGAATGATGGTGCCGAAGTTCATCTACAAAGTTTGGAACCATGGATTCAGGTAAGTCCTCAGTCTTGTTTTGTCATATTCCCTTGATTTTTGCAGTATGTATCTATCTTTTTACCATTTATTGATGTACTTCCAAATTTCATGATTATGTAAATGGTGTTTTCTTCTATATACATGGGTTGTGATGAGTGAAATAACAGTGTATTAAAAAGATGAACATTGTGAATGAGTCAATCTAATAACTTTGATTGTATAAACTGGGCATGATCGCTAATAATGAGCAAATTATTGAATGAAAACATAGTTTATGATGCCAGGAAAACTTTTACTTATTTTCTGTTTGTAAATTTATAAATTCACCATTTCCCTTAAGACCTCACAAGTTGTAGGCATTTCTAATTTCACGGAACGACCTCTGGCGGCAAAGTTGACACATTCAACTTTGACTGAGAATTATATGGTAGGAAAGTCTTATGTGCAAAAACTGGCCAATGAATGAAGCAACTGAAAATTCTTGTTGTTTCCGAATGCATTTTTAAATCCTTTAAGAAACTAATGACTATCAAGAAATCTATTGCTTTCTGCCTTCGTGTGTATTTTTCCATGTCATACTATCTTGCCATCTCTTCCACAGTGCCTATTGGTCAAATTGGAAATAATTATAGAATCTAGGATGATACAATTTATCAAAACTTTGAGAGCTCTCACACTTCAGTTTTAGTCAACCATGGCTTACAATTTCATCGAAGTCAAGCTGGCAGTTTTTTGTTACACATAATTTTCCGGATATAGTATCTTATACTGTGTTGTTACACATTCTATAGAAGTGTGTTTGTGGAAGTCACTAGTTACTATATGATTTAATATTTTTAGGTGATAGTGCTGCAACCATTTTCTAGTATCTTACAACCATGGGGAGTATTGTCAAAAAAATTCCATAGTTTAAGATTGGCACTCAATTACTCAAATGAGGTAGTTCCTTAAATATTTTCATGGTTAAGATCAGCAAGGATAGAATGGAAAGAATAAGGTGATAATATCAGTTATCCTTCAAACAGAGTTCAATGGACAGGAGCTAATAGATTCTAGCTTCAAGCATTGCTCACTCAGTGTGATTTTTTAGATACTAAATTTCTGATCTCTATTTACATATTCCTCAGATTATAGACTAGAATTTGAAGCTGATTAATATGGTCTGACCTATAATACTTCTACTATGACATGGCAAGAGATTATGGGCAAGCAGCCTTGTGTATTCTGTTGTTACTTTGGAAGGAAAGAAAAACACATTGTTTTTAAGGAACTTGTTTCCCTGCACATAGATTAAAATACATGGTTGAAAACCCTGGCTTTTAGGTGTAGAGAAAGGTCTCTTAATGGAAATGATGACTGTCTTGAGTGCTCTGCTGTATAGTTTTTGTATTATTTGTGGACAAATTTGGGGTACTCTTTGTTTTCGTATTTGTTTATGAATAAAAAGGTTTCCGCCATGGTGTGAATAGACGTTTCTAAAGCAGACATGGAATTGACTGTATATACTCAGATACTCTGTTACCAGAATAACTTGGGGGGGGGGGGGGGGGGGGGGGAGGCTGTGAGTACAACCTGGAGTGCCTACAAAAACTGAAATTTTGCTTCAAGTGGAAAAAAGCTTCTTACAATTGTTTTATGAGCTAAAGGATTTCACAGATTAGAGTTTCTATGAGCATTAAACATTATATATCTGGAGTTTCTTCTAAGATGAAGAAAATGAGGCTTAATGAAAGGGTTAGAATAAAATATTTATTTAATGTTTGTGCACTCAGTGCTTTTGTGATTTCATGAAAAGGAAGAATTGCCTTTAGTTAGTATTGTACAATTTTTTTTAATCAATTAAGTGATGAATGTAAATGTTTTATTTATTTATTTATTTGGTTGAGATTTATGCAAAAAGAGCGTCTTTGTGTTCTAAATTACTTGCTTTTCTTGAATAGTTGCTTCTTGACCTGATGGCTTTTCGGGAACATGCTTTGAGGCTTATATTGGACCTGAGCAGTACAGTGATTACCTTGTTGGTGAGTGGTGACTGGTGATTGCAGTTTTTGATCTCCAAAGAATCGCAAAACCAAATAAGTTTGTAATTATAACTTGTAATCATGTAGTTACTATTCTGTATTATGGAGAAGAGTATTGTTATATTATTTTCAAGCTGTCTTCCAAACTTGTATAATTGACCTAAATTTATATTCACTCCTTGCAGCCCCATCAGAACTCTCTTATACTGCATGCATTTATGGACCTCATCTGTGCATTTGTTCGTGTCAATCTGTTTTCCGAGAAGGCAAGTTTGGGTTTAGTGTCTTTCTTGTCATTTTTTCTGCAAATTTTCTTTGGCTAAAAAATCTATTCATTTTGCATTCCTGTTGCTTTTTGCACAAGCTGCTGGGCTCCCTAACAAAATGTCCAGACCCAGCAGAAAGCTCTGCATCAAGCATGGTTTGAGTAAGAAAGATGTACACAACCTTACCTATGTTTTTAGTGAGGTTGTTTCCAGTCTTCCATACTTGAATCCATGACATGATGGTCAACATGTGAGCACTCAGCTACAGTCTGCTATGTTCCCTGTGAACATTATTCGCTCAGTTATTTTTGTCTCTAACTACAGATTCCAAGGAAAATGATGCTGCAAACATATAATCTTTTGCATGCCATATCAAGAAATGACAGAGACTGTGATTTTTATCATCGGTGAGGCTACATGTACCTTTCATCATTCTAGTCTAGTTCTATAAAGCTTTTGAACATTATTTTTTGTGGGCATTGTGGGCACTCCTTTTACAGCTAATGGGGCTCTTATTATTTATGCTTTCTTAAAGTATGATTAAAAAAAGGGCATCTCTTGTAGGTTGCAATGCCTAAACTCTTCCTAACATAAAACTCGGATTTTAGAATTAACTACTGAAAAACATTGACTAGAAAATATGCCAATCAGACTTGAGATTCCTTGAATTTTGTACACGGAAACTCTGGTTTCATTCGTTTGCTATGTTTTTTAAGGGTGTATTTTATGTATTTGAGTTAATTGAATTTGGTTGTTTATTTGTAGGTATACAGATATAAGGTATTGAGTATAAGATAACATGATTTGCATGAAGCGTTTTTGGTGCTTCAAATAACAAAATAATTGTTTAACCGTTACCAGTTTAGTACTGAAATGACATAGAATTTTCAGTCCTTTTTTGGAGGGGGGGGGGGGGGGGGGGTTGGGGTGCATAGGGGATTGGGAGGGGAATATAAATTATAAAGTAGTTTGCATCATTCCACTAGTGAAAACAGATTACCAATGGGATTTAAGCTTGCGACAACACTTTCTAATTTGAGATGTTTGTACTTGACACATTCTCTCTCTCTCTCTCTCTAATAACAGGTTAATTCAATTTGTTGATTCCTATGATCCACCCTTGAAGGGTCTGCATGAAGATCTCAATTTTGTCAGTCCTCGCATTGGAGAGGTCAAGTTTCTCTCTTCTAATTTCACTATAATATGATGTCTGGATTTGTTTTTTAATTTTTACTTCACTAATGTATGTAAAGTCATTTTCTTTTCTTATTAGAATTTATATACCAAGTGCAAATTCACTCTGTGAGATTTTTATTTGTTTATGAGTTCTGACAGGAACATCTTTTGGTGAAATTTGGTCAATCAATTGTATCATTATTGCAGCTTTTGCTATTGGTCTTTGTTTTTATCAAATTCACAGTAGTGTTTCACTGTTTTGTAGCACTTCTACATGTGATAGGCAAACCTATAGTTAGTCATTTTGCTTGGCAAAGGTAATTTCTTGCATTAATAATACAAAATGCCTCCTTGAATAAATGATATCAAACACAACTCTACATATGTGCTTATAGAAAATATTGTCTACAATTTTCTTGTAAACAATTACAAATGTGGGTATATTTTATTGCATTGTAGTTTCAACCATATCATTCATCCACCAGAATCATCAATCAAGATTGTGAATTCTTGCTGAGATCTATTCTTTATATCAGGTATTAGAGGCGGTTGGTCCCATTATATTCTTATCTACCGATACAAGGAAGCTGCGGAATGAGGGCTTTTTAAGTCCATTCCATCCTCGATATCCTGACATACTTACAAATTCTGCACATCCAATGGTAACTACTCATTTTAGTTGCATTTCAAAATACCATTCTATTACTCTGTTTTCTTAAATCTTCCTGTTTCTCTATCTTTATTACACAATGCATGCTGAATTTGTAAACTTTCTTTGGCCTTTCTGCAGAGAGCCCAAGATCTTGCAAATGTTACTTCTTATCGTGAATGGGTATTATTTGGGTATCTTGTTTGTCCTGATGAGCTTCTCAGGGTAACAAGCATTGACATTGCTTCGGTAAATTCCAAATATTCTATTCTTTAGTTTGCCTAATAGTTGAAGATTAGACTATGCAAAGATTGTCTTGTATAGAAGATACCCCAAGTTCATTTTCTGTCCACAAAATTTTAATATAAAGTTCCCCATAATAATTTTTTGTGGAGAAATGATGAACATGTTGCCATTTTCTGTATGGTTGTGGCTTGTATTTGGTAGACAAGATGCTCAATATAATAAGGGCGAGATACTTTGTTGATAGTTGCTTGAAACTAGCTCAAAGTTTGTGAACATTGATGGCTCTGAGGTCCTTTGTTTTTGCTTTCTTATTTGTAAGGAAGCTTCAAACCATGCTCTCTTTATTTCAAAATGTTATAAGCTTAATTTTGACATTTTGTGCTTTAAACCCTCTTTATGCTTTCAGTACTTAGTTAATTTAAGCACTATATGTTTGGGACAAGGTTAGCTTTGTAAAAATGCAATTATATTTGACAGTGTAAGTTATGTATTGCACATCTTTTATGCCATTGTCAAACACAGTATTCATTGTTAAAATGGAATTTGTCCTAGTTCTCTTATGCAACTAATGCTTTAATTTTCTCAACTTTCTTTGGGATCCCAACAGGTTGTACTAAAGGAGAATTTAGTCCTTCCCTTGTTCAGAGACGAGGTGAGTTCTAGTATGTCAGCTATGAGGAGCACAATCTTCATCTCTGCTTACATTATTACTTTTATATGTAATTTTCAGTATATACTATTGCATGAAGACTATCAGTTATATGTTTTGCCTCGGATACTGGAGTCAAAGAAGATGGCGAAGTCTGGGCGCACAAAACAAAAAGAAGCAGATCTGGAGTATAGTGTTGCCAAGCAGGTTGAGAAAATGATAAGGTACTGTCATGAAGCTTGGCCTTCTGATAGTGAAAGGCTCTTCTCTACTTCTTAGTTGACTAGTAATATGCATCAAGTTTTTCCTTTGGCTGAATCCATATAAACAGGCAGTACTCTATAAAGTCGTTACTTTTCATGAAAGGTTCGTAATTACAAAGAGAGTAGGAGTATTAATGGGTATCTGAGTTAAATGTCATTGTAGTTTCTAATCCCTAAATGTGCTCTGCTGCTCATCTAATTTGTGTATCCAATTAAAATTGTAAATTTCTTCCAGTGAAGTGTGAAAACCTGTTTCGTTGTTGCTTCCGCTCTGCGGCTGTTTCACTGATGAGAGACGAGAGTGCTGAGATAGTTAGTATGGGTACTAACTGTTTACAGCCCTTACATTTTATTACTGTAATGGATCAAATGAAAACAGCAGCTCCGGCTTGTTAGTCCTGATAGGCTTAATGTACATTCTTTGGTTGATGATTTTCAGCTAACCTTGCTCTTTTCTTTAAAATCATTAGTTTCCTATTTTTTTTTTTTTCTGGTTGATATTATTTGCAAGACTATTATTTACAGATTGTACATACAGTTACCATAGTCCTATCTAGAATATTCTATTGTCTTTCTCAATGTTCAGGGCACCAATGCAGTTATGTTCTATGATTATTGCAGTGAAGTGCATGAACACGCATTATATTCTTGTGATATCATACACCGTGAAAGGAGAATATTTTTAAAACAAGAGATTGGAAGAATGGTTCTCTTTTTTACAGATCAGCCTAGCTTATTGGCTCCTAATATTCAGGTACTTTTCAATTTTGCACTTTGCAGTATAAAAGGGTATAATCTTTTGGAGCCACTACTGTTTGGAGTTGCTTGACTTCTTTATGTTTTAAACATCAAAGGCACAACCCACTATATTATTTATGTTGAGAAGTAAAGCACACTTTATTATTTATTTATTTAATTTTGTTTTTCCTCTCAATCTTTTGAGTCTAGAGTATCTAAAATGAGCCTTTCTACTAACCCTTTGCTTGCAAAGTTACCTGCTTTCCAGTGCTATAAGTTTTTTGTAGCGAAAGCCAAGATATTGCTTCCTACAGTAATTTGATGTTCCTACAGATGGTATTTTCCGCATTGGCTTTTGCTCAAAGTGAGGTACTTTGGTACTTCCAACATGTTGGAGTAGCATCATCAAAATCAAAAACTGCTCGAATGGTTGCAGTAGAAATTGTAAGAAACTCTTTCTTTCAGTCATCGTTCGAACTGAAGTCAATGATGCTGTCTCTACACTGATTTATGACTACATGAATTTTTGCATTTGTGGGAACAGGATTCAAGTGATCCAACGATTGGTTTCCTATTGGATGGAATGGACCGCCTTTGTTGTCTAGTGCGGAAGTATATTGCTGGTCAGTATTGCAGACTTAACTAGATGTATATAAGAGTCTGAAGAATCTTGGAGCCATCTGCTGTTTAGATTTGATGCGCATACTTTTAAACACCTCTCTCTGGGCTCCTTTTTTTTTTTTTTTTTTTTTTTTTTTTTTTTTTTTTTGTATTCTATTAATTTACATGTAAAGTACTGATTAATGTAACGGGAGATTTTTCAAGGAAAGAACTAAAATATGGAGGCATTAGAATCCTTGAAATGGTGAGGGGCAGTGGAGTAACTATAAACAACTCAAATGATGGGGAGTAAACCAAAAGATTTTGGAGATTTATTATGTTATCAATCATACAACCCAATACAGAATCTAATAAAGTATTTTAGATATTATTATTAGTGGACACAAATCCTTTTACTACTTTGGTAGGTAAATAAATAAGGAGTAAATGATAATTACTTATATTTTTTTTTTTTGAAAGTTACTTATATAATCATCTACTATTTAATTTTGCTGCAATAATTAGATTGCTTCTTTCCTTTGTAGGAGGATTAGATTCATATTGGGCTGAGATGTTTTATCCTATGTAATGTTTCCTTGGCATGTGTCACTACTTTGACTAGGATTAGAGATTAAGACACAAATTTTAGCCGAATATTCCAGTTGAGTTGGTACTCTACTACTCTAGACTCTAGAGGTCAAATACATCTTGGAATGCATAAAAAGTACACTCTTGTACAAAAGAAAGTAAATCAACTTTGCTGTAATATTACTTCAAGCTGATTGTTAAGCTTGAGGATTATAAATCTTCTTAGAAGGATAACCATTGTTTCAAGTTACAACTAACCAAAATAGCAAGTAATTTCAACAAATGGATGTTAGGTTTAACAGTAAATCTTTGATGCACATATCATTATATTAGAAAATTGACCCTCTAACATGCTTTACTAGTAGTGCTAATGTTATTTAAAGTACAGATGCTATCACCATCCAGAGGCATGTGATAATATTATTTTTGTTAGTTGTTCTGCTTTGATTATTTGCTAATCTCTCTTTTTTGGTCTACTTAATATCAAACAATTATTTCTAACAGCAATCCGAGGCTATGCCTTATCGTACCTGTCATCCTGTGCTGGTAGAATACGATTTCTGTTGGGAACGCCTGGGATGGTTGCTCTTGACCTTGAAGCAACCTTGAAGGGACTTTTCCAGAAGATTGTTCAACAGCTAGAAAGCATACCAAAGCCACAGGGTGAAAATGTTTACGCCATCACATGTGATTTATCTGTAAGGAGCTTCTGAACTGATATTTCCTCTTAATTTATTGATACCTGTTATGAAAGTAAAGAGAAGATTTTTTTTTTTTTTTTTTTTTTTTTGAAAGAGGAGAAGATTTCTGAATATGTTGTCTCATGGAAAAGAGAATACACAGCCCTATAAATAGAAGACTTCTAATAAGGAAACAAGTTTCCATATGACTACCTACTCAAAACCCTAAATCTCCAAGGTTCTTAATCTATATAAATTCCATATTACCTTATATATTCCATAACACTTCTCCTCAAGTTGGAGCATAGATATTAATCATGCCCAACTTGTTACACAAATAATTGATAACCAAAAAATAACTAACCCAAAAATAACTAAATAACTAACTCAAATCCCATTTAGGATACTGCCTTGAAACAAAAGCTTTGGACGCCACCAATACCACGGACAGCCGGGTGAACTCAAAGTGGACCGAACAAGCTTGAGATTTGACACTCCCCCTGAAATGGAAGCTTGGATGCCACCAATACCACGAACAAATACCGGGTGAACACAAAGTGGACCGAACAAGTTTGGACACACAAGGTAAAGAAGACAAACTCGAAAAAAGGAGGACCAATTTCTTTACCAACGGAAGGGAAGCATGCCCCAAACGACAATGAGCATCAAAAAGGGGTGACAACACCAAGACAAGCAACGGACTCCAACTTAGCAAACTCATTAGCAGAGATCAAGACCGATTTGGCAGATGCATTAGACTTATTTTCAGCCATATCTAGAAGAAAAAAAAAGATCACAAAGTACACAAAATTCAAGCCTGAATGTGTATGAGAAAAAGTGACCGTGGAGCAAAAAATCAGTGACAATGCAATGGTCCAAACCAAGTCCATATCCGAGGCAAACGGACCCAGGCGACCAAAAAATCAATGACAACACAATGGTCCAAACCAAGTCCAGATCCGAGGCAAACGGACTTAGGTGACCTAGGAGCAGTTGACCAAAATGTTTTCCGGTCGCCGGAGGAGCCTCACGCGCTGGCGAGTGGGAGAGTGGCAGCGGAGGATGGTGACGCGTGAGGCTCATGTGCTGGTCAGAACGTTGTCGAAATTTCCAAGCAAGGTCTCTAGACACCGACGCTCCTCCCTAGGTCAGCGGTGACGACAAGTCGACAATGGAGCGAAAAAAAAAAATTATTGTAAAGTCTCAGATACCATGTTATGAAAGTATAGAGAAGATTTCTGAATATGCTGTCTTAATAAGTTGTCTCATGGAAAAGAGAATATACAGCCCTATAAATACATGCTAGAAGACTTCTACTAAGAAAATAAGTTTCCATATGACTACCTACTCAAAACCCTAAATCTCCAAGCTGCCTAATATATATAGATTCCATAACAATACCAATTAATCAGTCTCTTTGAGCCCATACTCACCTTTAATAAAGGACTGTATGAGGTTACTGTATCTAATATTTGGCATTCATTTTAAAGCTGTGTCATATCTGTATTTGTAATTCATTAGACCAAGTGTTGCCCCTCTTCTGAAAAAAAGTAACTTGGCACTTCTCTTATTTATGGTATCAACTGCATTTAGGGCCTCTTCATTGTATCCTTCTTTTCAGCATTGTCTAACCCTTGTTCTTTTATGTTCTTATGTAAATATGAATGAAAAGATACAGATTCTCTTCCATTATACCCCCAAGTAGGCAGGTCGCATAACTTTTTTGGTTGTCAATCTTGTTATACTGTTTTCATAAAGTTGCTGCTGTTGATCTCATTATGTTACATTAGGCTCTAAAAATGAACTTTCTTAATATCAATCAGGATTTACGCAAAGATTGGCTTTCAATATTGATGGTTGTTACTTCTGCTCGGTCTTCTATAAATATTCGGCATTTGGAAAAGGCTACTGTTTCTACTGGAAAGGAAGGATTGTTATCTGAAGGAAATGCTGCATACAACTGGTCCAGGTGATTTTTTCTCACTTGATGAACATAATATATTAAAAATTAATGAATTTCATTTATTTCTGAGAATGAATATATAGGTTTGCACCTTTCCTACATTTTCTGGGTGCTTCTAAATTTCTAATTAAACTACCCAACTTATCAAAAGCGACATTTGGTTGTATTAATCATGTTGTGCTAGATAAATGAGCATCAGGTAAAGCTGTAAAGTTACGTTTGACATGAATCCAAGTATAAACTTAGAATGACAAGGTTGATTTGCTCTTACTTCTATGAGGACACAATACTCACTTGACTTCAAAAATGAAATTATAGTCAGTGTTATAAAGTCCTGATGTCCTCTTTATATTCAAATCCAGAATACCAAGTGACAGGTGGCTCTAGTTGCCGTAGTTGGTTCAAGAGATCGCTCTTGCTGTGTATGGCAAGCCACTTAGTCCACATGGCACATTGTTTCAATGTTTCTTCATATAGTCATATGTTATCCCTAAAGATATTTTCACTTTGTTCAAAAGTTTAGAAAAATACCTTGTATTCTGGTCTCTGTCTCACTATTCTTAGAGAGAATACTCCACCCTATAAATACAAGCTAGAGGACATATGATATGGAAACAAGTTTTCCATATACCTCCCCACTCAAAACCCTAATCTCCAGGCTTCCTAATATGTAAGAGTCCCATATTTGTATATTCCATAACACACTTGATCCAGGCAGGCGGTGCTGCCAACCTATTGACTTTCATCCTCTCTCACCCTAGACTCACACCTTACATCCCACATTAGGATAATTAGTTAACCTATATGAGATGGGATATTAGTATATTACATCTGTGATCAATAGTATGGACTTAGGAGTTAGGACAAAAACATTGTCTTGGTAAGAAATGGTATGGGAGATTACATCGGTGCATGCTGTAGTGCATCAGATGTTACATTTTGCACAACTTGCACTTTTGGAATTTGTGATACTAAATAATATCCAGAACTTAGTCACCCCAAACCTGAAGTAAATAGGAGGTTAGTTCTCTTGTCATTATAAATATATTTCCCCGTAATAAATTCATCACATAGATGTTTTTCACTTCATGACCCATTTTTTTTTACTTAATTCTGAAGTGTATGTTTGATGGATTTCTGCATTGTTAGCAATACTCGTATCAAATAGCGTCTGTCTGTGTTAAGGCAGGTGTGTTGATGAACTTGAAGCTCAGTTATCTAGACATGGGAGTCTGAAGAAGCTATACTTCTATCATCAGCATCTTACAACAGTATGGAACTTTGCACTTTCCAAGACTACTATATCCATGTTTTCTACTTTGATTCTAAACCTGAACAGAAATAAATACAGGTCTTCCGTAACACCATGTTTGGGCCAGAAGGTCGTCCACAACATTGTTGTGCATGGCTTGGTGTTGCTAGTAGCTTTCCTGAATGTGCTTCTTCAATTGTACCTGAGGAGGTATGATGGCATTAAACATACAACAGTATAAATAGTTAAAAATAATTATATAGTTATATCTCATTTTTCATCATATGGACTCTCAACTTACCATGTTTCTTTTAATTTATTTATTCACATTTCATTAACAATTTTTAGGCCAAGGATGATTTTGATAATTTTGGAAAAATGAAGGAAAAAAAAACTTGACTCAATTGACAATAAAGTTAACCTTTAGATTGAGTTGCTTCCACGTTTGCTTTTCAATTCTTAGTGATAGACTCATGGTATTATGACGGACTAACTTTAGATGTTTCATCCTTGTCTGACCTTAAATGTGTTTTTCCGAGTTTAATTACATTTTAAATATTTGATGAGGTCTGTCTGTTTTCAATGTTTACTAACTATTAAATACATATAACTTATTTTCAAAAAAAAAAATACATATAACTTGATGGAAACAAAATTTTGGCTGAGAGGACTGAGTAAGAGCAGTCCCCCACCCTAGAGAACACAACAAATTGTATCATGCCCATTTCTATTCCTCAACTCCTTTCTTGTATCAATCAATCTTATGTCCTCTTAGAGTTGCGGTTGAGGCTTTGTAGGGTTCAAATATTGGCTACATAAGAAGATATAGGATGTTTTGTGAGTAGGGCGGAAATGGGTTTAAAAGTATGGAGCTGATTTTTAAATGTGATCATTTTCTTGGCATTTCTTTGTATTTAAAACAGTTGATCTTATACTTAATGCTTTATTTGTGAAATTCACTCTGTTTTCTAATTTTTGAGATAAAAAGGAGTTGCTGCAATAATAGTATACTCTGTTTGGTACAGGTAACTAAAATTGGCCGTGATGCTGTTCTCTATGTTGAGTCCCTTATTGAATCCATCATGGGAGGATTGGAAGGGCTAATCAATATTCTTGACTCTGAGGGTGGTTTTGGCTCTCTCGAGATGCAGGTTGGTCCTTTGTCCTGTTTGTATAGGGAAACAGTAAAGTTTATTTACTATGCTTGCCTTAATTTCAAATGCCATTTCAGCTTGTGCCAGAGCAGGCTGCCCATCTCATGAATTTGACTTCAAGAATATCTACTCCTTCAGTAAAATCCCCTAAAACAATGTCTGGTTTTCATTTGCCCGGCTATGAGAGCTACCCAGAAAACAATAATTCTATTAAGATGTAAGATATTTTTTTACCCCAAATGAATCTCCCTACCTCTCCCTGCTTTTTATTTTTCTTAAAAATCTAGTATTCTCTTTCATTTACAAATTTGCTAATAACAGGTTAGAAGCTGCTATGCAGAGGCTAACAAATCTTTGCTCAGTCTTGAATGATATGGAGCCTATCTGTGTCCTAAACCATGTCTTTGTTCTGAGGGAGGTAAGAGACATCATTTCCTCTACAAAATGCTTGTATACAGACAAAGTTTGGGGCTTGATTGTTCTTATTTCTTAGCAAATGCTGTTTTTGATAGCCTGCAATGCTTTCTTGTTAATTCCAATCTTCTTTTTCTGTTGGAGGTTCTCTCATCTAAATCTAGTTCTCTTTTAGTCTTATAATATATAGGAAAATTAATTTTCAAAATTTGTAGGAATTACCTGCATTATATACATTTGTAAATTGTGTTTTTAGTTCGCCAAAGTGTAGCTCTCTAGAGTTCCGGTATTCTTAATATCCTGAGTTTGCAGTAAGTTAATTATCTTGTCTTTCTTTCAGATTTCTAGAGGAAAATTATATTACATATATAATTACTTGTCATATTTCAAGTTTTGCTACTATTGCACTGGGTTAGTTTTCACTTGCACCAAAGCTTGACACGCCAATGTGCAGTATTAGTGCACAGACAATGTCCATGCCTCTAATACTCTAATAGTACTTGGTTGGCCCATCTTATTTTTGTGCCTATCAGTACTCAAATGCCAAAAGCTGGACCTAAGTCACCTAACAGTATTTATTGAAAAGTGCTCTTTAGGAGTAGACAATTTTTCCTTTGTCTCCCCTTCATCTTTCCATTCCTGTTGCCCACATCTCTTCCTATCTCTTGCTGCCCTCATTATTGCTTCCAGTCTTCTTTCTCTACATCACATGACCTTGTCCAATGAGTCCAAGCCTCTTTTTGACACCGTTGCCCTTTGATTAATCTCCCAACCTTTGATTTTTCTTGAAAAGACATTAGGCTTTCTATGTAATAGGTTGGTGATGCTTCAATCTGATCTTCCTTGCATGGCTGTATTGAGGGAAAATTGTTTGTTTGTTTGTTTGTTTTTCTTTTTTTAATAATATTTTCTATTCTGTATTTCACTTAATGGTAATGAGGAGTAAGATTTTTATTAAACGTATGTCTTAATTCTTATAACAAAAGTAGAAGCCTATGTTTTTTTGTTAATGGCTGCTATAATAGTACTGCACTTGTTCTTGAAGACATTGGTGTAGAAGTCTTCTTTTGGGTAGTGGTTAGAGATGAGCAATACTCCAATGCTTACTAACACCGTATTCTGATTTTAACCTCACTCTATAGAAAAATGGTTCTACAATAAATTACCCAAAATAGCTTATCTTTTCTGGCAAAGTTAAGGGCTAGGAATACATCTGATATGGGTATTTTTGTGTAATTTTTACTTTTTATATTATGAGGCAATATACTGTATATATTGCTGAAGATGTTGTCTCTAGGACCATTAGCATATAATTTGGAGATCATATAATTTGTTGCATCATGCTTGATGCTAATAAAATGTTATTATATTGCAGTACATGAGAGAATGTATACTTGTGAACTTTAGAAGGAGACTGCTAGCTGTTCTTAAAAGTGATAATGATCTACAACGCCCTTCTGTATTAGAATCACTTATTCGCAGACATACAGCTATAGTCCATCTAGCTGAACAACATGTTAGCATGGACCTGACACAGGGCATCCGTGAAATTTTACTGACGGAGGCATTCTGTGGTCCAGTTTCATCTCTACATTTGTTTGAGAAAGCTGCAGAGCAGTACACAGGATCTGCAACTGAAGCTGTGTGCAACTGGTACATCGAAAACATTGTCAATGATGTGTCTGGTGCTGGTATACTTTTTGCACCACTCCATAAATGCTTCAAGAGCTCAAGGCCTGTTGGGGGATATTTTGCTGAGTCAGTCACTGATCTTAGGGAATTAAAAGCTTTTGTTCGGATTTTTGGCGGTTATGGAGTTGACAGGTTTGACAGAATGATGAAAGAACACACAGCTGCACTGCTGAACTGCATTGACACATCACTACGTGCCAACCGTGAGATTTTGGAGGCAGTTGCAGGAAGCATGCATTCTGGTGACCGGATAGATAGAGACACAAATATCAAGCAGATTGTTGATATGGACACCATGGTGGGGTTCTGTGTACAGGCAGGACAAGCTATTGCTTTTGATTGTCTTCTAGCAGAAGCTGCTGGAGCTGTACTGCAGGAAGGTGCTCCTCTAATACATTCTTTACTAACAGGGGTTGCTAAGCATTTACCTGAGGAAATTCCCGAGAAGAAGGAAATTAGAAGGTTGAGAAGGGTGATAAACAGTGTGACTCTAGCTGATGACCATGACTCAGAGTGGGTCAGATCAATTTTTGAAGAGGTTGGGGGTGCAAGTGATGGTTCATGGAGCTTGTTGCCATATTTATTTGCCACATTCATGACTTCAAATATCTGGAGTACTACAGCTTTCAATGTTGATACTGGAGGTTTCAACAACAATATTCACTGCTTGGCAAGGTTAATTCAAAAGCAGCTCTTTTCTTCATATACATATATTTATCTAAATATATTATGTTGCTTCATGATCTCTTTTTTGACATATTTTGCATGAGTGAATGCTCTTTTCTTTGCTTTACAATTGTTGGTTTTTTTTTTTTTTTTTTTTTTTCCCAAAAGGTGCAGTTGCTAAGAACAAATTAAGAGAATAGATTGAGATTGTTGGATATATTCAATGTAGGTCTGTGGGTGCTCTAATTAGAATGATAGGAGATAGTATACCAAAACTTGATTGGATTAAAGTTATTACAAAGAGTTATTGCCACTTTTGGTCCTCTTTCCACATTTGTTCCCTAACTAGTAATCTTCTCCCATTTGGTGCACAAGTATACTTTCTTGCCACATTTGGTCCTGCCAACCAAATGTTCGGCAGTCACCTGTCGGAAAAGTTAATTTTTCTTTGGTCTGGAAAGCTTTAAGGGCAACGTCATCCTTCCAAGTCTATATACACAATACTGTTACTAAAAATCCCAAAATTGAATGAAATGTGAAGCTGCCTTTGATTTTTCAGTGTAGTTAGGGTGGTAGGAGAAAAGGGCTAGGTTTTCTACATCTTAAATTTTGGGATTTTTTTAGTAATGGGCGTGTGTATCTTGGACTGACAACTTTTACTTTGAAACTTTCCTAGATGAGAGAAAAATTAATTTTTCTGGTTGGTAATTGCTAGGCATTTAGTTGGTAGAATCAAATGTGGCAAAAAGAGCATGTTTGTACACCAAATTTGTCAAGATTAATAGTTGGGGATCAAATGTGGGATATGGATAATATTAAGGGACCAAAAGTGGCAATAACTCTTATTACAAACTAGGGATAAGGGTAAGCCCTTGAACTTTTTAAGAATATGCAATTAAGCTTTCAAATTAAATAAAAAAATAAAATCAAATAGATGCCTAAACTCAGGGAAAAAGGAGCAATTGGCCCCTTGGTAACCATATTTTCTTGGAATTGCCCAATCATCACTTAAGTGGACGCCCACTCGTATTTGTTGAGCATATAATATATAATCTATAAACATAAATATGCAGTCTAACTATCTGCTTAGGCTTTTAGTTGAACCGGGAATACATTATTCAATTGTATTTATTTTAAATTTTTTGCTGACTTGATGCCACATGTGGTGGTTTCTTGAAGCCATGGCTTCACACTTGGCTAATTGTGATAGTTAATAAAAAAAATTGGAAGGACAAAGATGGCTTCTTCCTTTTCAGCCAAATTCATTCAAATGAAGGACAAAGAAACTCCTAGATAAAGAACAATGTAAGGTAATTTTTTGAATTAACCATGGCAGTTAAAGAACAAGAGAGGAGAAACTTCTAGTTATTGCCTCACATCAGCAAAAAAAAAAGAAAGTAAATATGGTTGGCATCCACATAAGCAATGATTGGATGATTACAGGTAAAAATGGGCTAAGTGCACGTTTTTCTCTTATTCAGGTGTCCACTTGAAACTTTTTTTAAGTTTGGGATTGTAGTTGCATTTTCCTAAAAGTTTGAAGGCTTATTTGAGCATTGTCCCTACAAAATACGTATTAGCTCAAGGACAAAAATTTAGCACTTGGATGGGGAAAGTCCATGTGGTTGATCTTACGTGGATTATGTTCAAAGCATAGTTAAGTCAGTCAGGGTTTGCTTTCAATTTATCCTCAGGACTGGCGGGGAGAGGAGAAACAATAAGCATACTAGTGTCACCCTGCCTAGGAGGTTGGCATTGTTTCTAGTGTAACCTTGGTTAGTAGCTGGAAAAATGAAATATTAGAGAGAGAAAATAGGAGAAATGGTTTAATCATTTGGCATAAGTATGAGTATTTTCTGACTTGGTTTTCGTGGGCAGGTGTATTTCTGCTGTTATTGCAGGAAGTGAATTCGTGAGACTTGAAAGAGAAAATCAACAGAAACAATCTTTTTCAAATGGCCATGTTGATGAGGCATTAGATCCTGAGACACAGAACCGGTCTTCGGTGGAGGCAAGCATTAAGTCCACAATGCAACTGTTTGTCAAATTCTCTGCTGGAATTATCCTGGATTATTGGAATGAACATAACAGGTAAAACTTATACTTCATTCATTATACTTAGATGTCACATAATGGGAAGTTGTTAATTTATATGATGAGTAAGAAGTGTGAGTTATCAGTGAATTAGTAAGTTGATCTTTGAGGTTGAACCCAAGTCTGTGTTGAGCATATAACCATTAATGTGCAATCCAATTATCAGCTTAGGCTTTTAGTTGAGATGGAGCACATGCTTCAATTTGGTATAGAGCTATTCCAAAGGTCATAGGTTCGAATATGTTTAGTAAACGAGTAGTTTGGCTGGTCAGTATTATGATTACGGTGTAGTTTTCTATCTGTTTACTTGTGTATTCTTTTGCTCTTGCACTCAGATCTCATATTGTAGCAAAGCTTATATTCCTGGACCAATTTTGTGAGATCTCTCCATACCTGCCAAGAAGCTCGCTAGAAGCCCATCTTCCTTTCGCAATTCTCCGCTCCATATACACCCAATACTACTCAAATTCCTCTCCTGTGCACGCGCAACTTGCATTGCTCAACGCATCTCCCCGGCATTCGCCTGCTATACTTGCGCACACATCTCCAGCAATGAGGCAGCCGCCCCACCGGGAAGAGTCTACTCCACATTCGACTCTTAATGATTCCGGCTATTTCAAGGCATCATCAAGCCATAACCAAAATCAACTATATGACACTGAAAATAAAGCTCGGAATACGAGGCGGTCTGGGCCGTTGGATTATAGTGCCACTCGCAAAGTGAAGTTTATGGAAGGCTCAACATCATCAAGCACAGGTCCAAGTCCCTTGCCAAGGTTTGCAGTGTCCAGATCCGGTCCCATATCATACAAGTAGTAGAAACAATGCCCCAAAACTTTAATGTACATTTGCTTCCTGTTAATGTCAATATTTCAAAGTGGTAATTCTGTCTACTACTATGCTCATATAATTTTGACGCTGTTTATTCATATTTGGAAATTTTATTTTATTTATTCCTTGTTATTCTCATTCACTTCATTTAATCGTTTACTAAACTGAAATACTTTTTTTTTTTTATTACAAAGGAAGGGGGATACCCATACAATCTATGCCTACACTGAGGCTCGAAACCTAGACCTCCCACATAGGGGAGCAATCCGATACCAGTGGACCACAAGCCACTGGTACTAAACTGAAATACTTAATCAAAGTGAAAATTATATTTTGATTTATTCTGTTTTCTTATGAAATTTATTTTTTAAAAAAATTGAATTATTAATGGTGATGGATATTGGGCTGACCTGTTGGACCGGTTAACCAAAAGGGCATGAGCTACGTGGACCGACCTAAGAAAGTAACTGGACCAAGGAAGTCCAAGAAGATACCCGGACAATTTAGGAGTTTAATAAGGTTGAGCTTATTAATCATATAATGGGCAATTTATATTGTGCACTACGGCGCACATAGCAATGTGCGCCCAGGCACAAAACACGCGCGTTTCATGCTGACATCATACTGAAGTCACTTCGTCCATTCGAACAGACCAAAACTCATTATGTGTATTCAATTAAAATTTTATGTGTATTGTGTTATAAGTTTATGTGTATTCAGTTAAGAGTTTATGTGTATTATGTTAACCAAATTCATTTTGTGTATTCAGTTAAAAGGTTATGTGTATTATGTATTAATTATTATGTTAGATTATGTGTATTCTGTTATGAGTTTATGTGTATTCAAAACAGGATATTTTTTTTAACAACTTAACAAAACGACGTCGTTTTGGGAGGCGCGGGGCGCACAGTGCTATGTGCGCCCTGGTGCACGGTATAACGATTGCAATCATTATAAGAATTAGGCCTCCTGTTTCTGCAATCATTATTGTGTGGACCATATTTTGTCTACTGTAAAATAATGTACATTGTATTCAGGGGATGTATATTATTTTTGTTCTGAGTGTACATTATATTGTATAATGTACATTCAGTACAAAAATAATGTACATTTAGTATATTAAAAATGTACTTTTTATTATGGTCCACATAACATTGTGTGGATCATAGTCCACACAATAATTTGCCTTGTTCCTGATGTAACAAAGACTCCCAATATGAGGCAGTCTAGGATTTATATTCTTTGTAGGACTCTTGGTCCAAAATATGTATAAATAGACTCATCATACATTAGAGAGAAAAATGGGCAATTTTCACTATCCACAAAGCAATATTCAGTAATACAATATCCATATTCTTATATACTCGTTATTTTAAAGGTTGCTTTGACCAAATCGTTGACTGCCCAAAAGTTATAAAGTCTGCCCAAAAGCTATAAAGTCAGGCACCGTCTGTGGGTATCGAAATAAAAAATTTACTTTGGATTTTCACATTTAGAATTTCCAACATCTTAGCATGGTGACTACGCGATGACATACCCAAACAGACCAGTCGGTTCGGGATCTGCGGGGAAACCTTCAATCGGCTCGCCTCTCGTGCACCGACCAGTTAGTTTGTACCCCCTCAAGAGGATGATCTAGAAAATCTCTAGGAGGAAGATGAGTTCCGTTCAACCATATGATCCGTCGATCAATCGGACCCTGCCCTGTTGTATTGTAGACCGTTGAGCGCCTTCTCGAAACCTTGCAACGTGACTACATACCAGGAAGCGAGGCCCCCACCGCTGCGGACCCTCCAGACATGACCACTCACAAAGAGCAGGCAACCAAGACCGATCGCCAGAGGAAACACGGGGATCTGGCCCACCTAAGAAGCATCGCCCTGCAAGTTCGGTCCTCGATCGCTTAGGACCCTAAAGCCACCCACTCATCATAGAGCGGTTAGGGCAAAATAACCCATTAGACAGGAACTCGCGGGGAAAGGTCAGGCCCAATCCCTAGCGGCGAGTGGAAGCTGCTCGGGCAGCTAGCCTCCGAACTCGAGAACTGCGGGCAGAGGAGTGGGGAGACCCTCGAACCTGGTCGAGAAAACCAAGCCTGAGAGGTTGAAGAGCTAGAGCTAAGGAAATAAAGGACCTCCAACGTAAGATTGAGGGTGGAAAGGACCGGCCGACCGCTTGGTCCCTATTGTCTGCCAACCCATTCTCCAAAGAAATCTAATAGTACTGCCCGCCAAGAGACTTTAAATACCAGGAAATGCCTACATATGATGGGGCAGATGACCTCAGTGATCACCTGGTAGGTTTCCAAGAAAAGATGATGGTGATAAGAGCAGATGACCCCATGTATTGCCGTGCGTTCTTTTCAACACTTCGGGGGACAGAACGATGGTTCCTTTCCCTCCCACCTTGATCCATAAACAATGTTGTAAAAATCGCGTCTAGGCGGCACCTGGCCACCTAGAACAATGCCGGAATCGGTGTTCTAGGCCGATCGATTATATACTCTGCGTGATTTTTTAAGGGTTATTCGTTCAAAACGGGACGTTGTTGGAAAAAAGACTATAATAGGACAAAGGGGTGGTCCATTTCTTAAAATAGGACACTTCTTTTTTTTTGGACTAAAATGTGAAAAAAACGTTTGGGACATGCGTTTTTGGCATGTCCCAGGTTTTTTTATTTTATTTTTTATACTCTACCAAAGACGCATCTGGGAATTGCGTCTTTGGTATTGTATACGACCGTCGCACTTAAGAAATGCGACGGTCGTATACCGTATGCGACGGTAGTATACCGTTAAAATGCATGTGCGAGATGCGTTTTCAGTACAACGCATCTCGTACATGCGTTTTGATCGCCGGTCAGTTGCCGGAGAATACTCGAGAGAAGCCGCATTTGGGACTTGCGGTTTAGGTGAAACGCATGCTCCAGATGCGTTTTAGGTGAAGGCGGAATATTGCGCTAATCAACGTGAACAAGTACAAACGTTTACAAGAACCATCCAAGTAATACATTTAGCCTATCTGCTAGATTTGATGACTACGAAACTCCTATTTACCTTGCAGACTATGTTCGAACCTCATGACTTACAATGAAATTTATTTAGCGCTTTCAACATCAATAACAAATACAAATGAACAATGCACTTAACCAACTAAGGCACTTAGCTTATTTGGTAGAACAGATGCGAAAGAGAGTTCTCTACACCCTGAAGACCAGTGTTCGAATCCCAGACGTATTTGTAGTTGTGATTTTATGTTTAAATGTTGAAAATTACACACCGTTCGAAAATTAATTTTATATGTTGAATTTTATAAAGTATGCAAAAAAATGTTCATATGTATATGTTAAGAATAAATAAAAAAATATGTAATATATTTCTGATACAACTTTTCATTATTTTTAAATTTAATCTACCCATTGTGATAATTATTTTTGTTTTCTTTTGTGTATCCATTCCGTGTGTATTAATTGCATGAGTGGAACGAATTGTTATTCGTTTGAAATAAAATGAGTATTGTATAAAAATGTGAATAAAAAAATAAACTTATGATTGATTTTAACTAAGATATAATCATATATTTCCGGAATATTGCAAATTACATCAAGTAGATAACAAATGTCGATGAATATCAATTATGAGAATAGGATGCTATTTTTTTCGGGCATGTACAGTTCACTAGATTATTACGGTTGAAGTGGTCTGTATTTAATTCACGTGAAATGTGTACGAATATCAATTAAATTTCGTGATGTTTTTTTAATATGAAAAAAAAAATATTCTGAAATATAAATGGTCGCATTTTGCTCCATTTGGTTCAGCTATTCTCCGTGTTTTGAAAAGTAGATTACTGGATGGGGGTGGAGGTGTGCATGAGCGTTGTGCGACTCGTATCGTTAAATGTGTATTTTTAATTTCTTTATTGTTGAAATTAAAACCGAATTCAATGTATGGTGTGAAATGTCGCTTGTAATGTTAATTAGTATGACAATAAAATTTCAAAAGTGATTGAATTATTTGGGTCTAGTACATTGGAGTTGGTAATAAACTAACATCATTAAAAAGTAAGTACTATTTACTAACATATCGAAATTGCGGTAGATCTAAGAAAACAATGTTAACGTGAAATGTACCATATTGATGCCATCGTCCTGATTGCGACTAGCCCTGGTGTATTTTAACAATTAATATTATCAAAATATATTGATAGTACCGAATTTTACGAGGCTGGTTATAACATCGACCAACCTGGATATACATCAGAAACTATATAAACTATATAAATTTGCGACTGCTGGAAGTCATTGACACAGTTGAGAAATGTAGCTTCTCTTGCATCATTGTCATCTTCCGAATCATAGGTCTTTTGGACCTTTGATCATTTAGTAACCTTATTACTGTAATTGACTCCTTGCCGAAGTCACGTAATAAGGCGCAGCCTATAACCTGAAATTTGTAAATAGGGAAATATATTAAAAATAATAGACTACAGAATGTGGATATACATCATATATTTAAATAAAATTAAATGAAACGATGTACGAGCTACCGAATACGAAAATCTGTTAGCTAATTTGAACGAACCTCTTAATAGAAATAGCAGTCGCGAAATTTAGTTGAAATTCAATGAATTTCTGTAGCAGAGGAAAATAAATTGGGTTTGAAATATTGAGCATGAGAAAGTTGTATAAAAGAAAACAAACTTCCCATTGAGAATATTGAAAAACGTTATTAGAAAAGAAAGGCAATGCTTAAATGTAAAACCGCACCGTAGGTCTATTTATATGTGAGGTAGAATGCTAGGCAGGCCGTTGTTGTGTTTTAGTGCGTTGTATTTTTTTAAAGTGACTGACGCTTAAAACGCAAGTGGTATTTGCGAATTTAAGTGTGTCTGGTGATGTGATGTACCGACTGGCGAAAGCGACCAGAGGTAAAAACGCGTGTGGGACTTGCGGTTTAACTCTGGCCGCAATTCCCACTTGCGATTTTACTTTTTATAATGTCAGGTGTTCAGTTGTATCGAGTGACGAACCGGGTGGTTGGCACAGGTCACCATAAAAAGTATAGATGTGATGTGGCGACCAGAGGTAAAAACGTGTGTGGGAATTGCGGTTTAACTCGGGCCGCAATTCCCACTTGCGATTTTACT